CTATAAATTAGCCATATTCATTGTCTACTGCCAATATAATTATCTGTCTTTATAAATATTATCCCTGTTTTTTTAATGACTTGTATTTTTCTGGTACAGGTTTGTTGTGAATGGTTGTTTAATTTTGTCTAGGTGAGCAGTCATAAAAATTCTCCTAATTTCAACATTTAGTTATATTTGAATCCATATTTTTGTGTGGGAGGAAACGTTTGGATTGAAAGATAATTTGAAAACTGTCATAACTCTATCTTTTTTAGGTATGATTGTTTATTTTTACTTGTCAAAAACACATAACAAAATTTATAATCAAGTATTTTTAAATATTCAATTTAGTCATCTTAATTATATTGACAGTGTTATGCAACATATCCCTAGAATGTTTTTATCTTGCACAACTAAAGCTCAATACATATTAAACAACTACCAGTTTTTCCCATTTTTGTCACACTTCACAAACACCACTCTGTTTTCTGAGTCTAAGAGTGTAACTGCTTTATATATATCATACAATCTCCATCTTTTTGTGGCTGGCCCATTTCATTTTGCATAATGTCTTCTAGCTTTGTCTTTATAGTTGTTAAAATATTTCCTGCTTTTTCAATCCTGGGTGATATTCCAATATTTCTGTATTTCAAATTATATCTACTGAGTGGTTTGGTGACAGAAATTTGCATTGTTTTTACTTATGTGCTTTCAGTGACAATGCTACAATAATTATTGGTATGCAAATGATCATATATGTGTAAGTTTATATATGTACTGCATTCTACTTTATTAGTCAACCTTTTTTTACCTTTATGCTCCTACCAAATTGTTTTAATTCTGTAGCTTTGTAATGTGTTTTGAATTCAAGAACTGTAATGCCTTTAACATTGCTTTTTTTTTTTTTCTTTTTTTTTGGAGGGGGAAGATTCTTGGGTACTTTATTGTCTCTTGAGATTTTATATACTTTTGTGGTTCCTGTTTCTATTTCTTCAAAAATGCGATGAGAAATTTTAAAAAACATTGCTTTAAATTAGTAGATTACTTTGAGCAGTATGGATATCTTCACAATATTAATTATTTCAACCCTTGAACAAGAGCATACTCAAGAGTGTGTTGTTTAATGTCTATGTATTTGTAAAAGTTTTCAGTTTCTTTTTTTTAGACACAGTCTCACTCTGTCACCCAGGCTGGAGTGCAGTGGTACGATCTTGGCTCACTGCATCCTCCACCTCCCAGGTTCAAGTGATTCTCCTGCCTCAGCCTCCCGAGTAGCTGGGACTACAGGCGCCCACCACCATGCCCAGCCATTTTTTTTTTTTTTTTTTTTGTATTTTTAGTAGAGACGGGGTTTCACCGTGTTAGCCAGGATGGTCTCAATCTTCTGACCTCGTGATCCTCCCGCCTTGGCCTCCCTTATAGTTGTGAGCTACTGCGCCCAGCCAGTTTTTCAGTTTTTTTCTATTATTGTTTTATATTCTCATTTCATTTTTGTCGTAGAAAGTAATCCATAAAAATTCAGTTTTATAAAATTTGTTAAGACTTCTTATTTGGCCTACTACGTAGTCTGTCAAGGAGAATGTTCTATAAGCCATTGAAAAGTGTGTACGTGCTAATGTTCTTGAGAAGTGTTCTCTATATTTCTGTTAAATATATCTGGTTTTTACTACCTTTGAGTCCTCTTTTCCCTTATATTCTGTCTTTATTTTTATTACAGAAAGTGGGGTATTGAAATATCCTACTATAATTATGTTGCTCTCTATGTGTTTCTTTTATTCTGTTAATATTTGCTTTATGTGTTTGAAACCATAATGTGAGATACACACACACACAACATACACTTGTATATACAAATTTGTCATAGGTTCCTGGTAAATGAATCTATTATTGTTTAATGTTTCTCTTTGGAGTTTTGACTTAAAGTACATTTTATAAAATATGACAGTTTTTGACTTAAGATGTAGCTTGTGTAATTTTTTGGACATCTTTTCTCATTTTGTTAATATTTGTGTAGAATATATACATCCATCATGCCACTTTCAGTCTTGTTTTATAATTAGGTCTCAGCTGACTCTTGTAGAAAATCAAGTTGGATCTTGGTTTTTGAAAATTTTTAATCCCATTATTGAATGTATGTCTTTATTTATTTATTTTTTTTTTTGGGGAAATGGAGTTTCGCTCTCGTTGCCCAGGCTAAAGTGCTGTGGTATGATCTTGGCTCACTACAACCTCTGCCTCTGAGGTTCAAGCAATTCTCCTGTCTTAGCCTTCTGAGTAGCTGGGATTACAGGCACCCGCCACCATGCCCAGCTAATTTTTGTATTTTCAGTTGAATCGGGTTTTACCATGTTGGCCAGGCTGGTCTTGAACTCCTGACTTCAGTTGATCCACCTGCCTCAGCTCCCAAAGTGCTGGGATTAAAGGTGTGAGCCACCATGCCTGGCCAAATGTTTGTCTCTTGATTTAATATATAGATATTTAAACAAGGTTAATTATGTGTATATTTAAATAATCTTCTGAAACAGAAAGACTTGGTAACCTTATTGTTTAATTTGATTCTTGTATCCTTGTCCCTTGTTTTCTCTCTTTCCTTCTTCCTTTGTGTCTTTTGATTTTTGTATTTATATGCTTTTATTTCTTTTTTACTTGGTTTTGTGTATCTACACAGATATATTCTTTGTGGTTCCTTGGGGATTACATAAAACCTCTACAAGATAAAACAGTATATTATAATCTAGTAAAAAAATCAACTTTATTTGCATATGAAAATTCTTATTCATTACATCTGCCCTCAACTTTGTCATTGATGTTGTTAATTATATCTTTATATGTTGTATATTCATTAGCAGGTGTTTATAATAATTTCTGTGCTTTTTATCTTTCACATTTTAGAGAATAATTAAAAATGCTTTATGCACCATTATGATAATGCTGTGAAATTCTGTTTTTGTGTATGTGCATATCTTTCCCAGAAAGTTATTTATTTTTTTTAGATGGAGTCTTACTCTGTCGCCAGGCTAGAGTGCAGTGGTGTGATCTTGGCCCACTGCAACCTCTGTTTCCCGGGTTCAAGTGATTCTCCAGCTTCAGCCTCCTGAGTAGCTGGGATTACAGGCATGCACCATCACACCCAGCTAATTTTTGTATTTTTAGTAGAGACAGTGTTTCACCATGTTTGCCAGGATGGTCTCAATCTCTTGGCCTTGTGATCTGCTCTCCTCAGCCTCCCAAAGTGCTGGGATTACAGGCATGAGCCACCGTACCTGGCCAAAAGTCATGTATTTTCATGATTATGTGCCGTTTTCTTGTATCATGTTATTTTCAGTGGAAGGAACTCCTTTCAGCATCTTCGATATGTAGGGCATAGGCAGCACCAAAATACATTTTCAGAATTTTGTTATTTATTTATTTATTTTGAGATGGAGTTTCACTCTTGTTGCCCAGGCTAGAGTGTAGTGGTGTGACCTCGGCTCACTGCAACTCCACCTCCTGGATTCAAGCGATTCTTCTGTCTCTTACTTCCCAAGTAACTGGGATTACAGGAGTGTACCACCATGCCTCACTAATTATTTTTTATATTTTTAATACAGATGAGGTTTTACCATGTTGATCAGGCTGATCTCGAACTCCTGACCACAAGTGATCCACTCACCTTGGTCTCTCAATGTGCTGGGATTGCAGACATGAGTCATCACACCTAGCCGAATTTTGTTATTTTGGAAGGTGTCTTTCTTTTATTTGGCAGGACAGTTGTTGGTATTCTCACTTGACAGCTATTGTTTTCAGCACTTTGACTGTATCACACTTCCCTTCTGGCCTGATTCACTGGCTATCTTATAAGACTATTATTATAAATGACATATCACTTTCATCTTGCAGTTCCCAAGATTCTCTTGTCTGTTACTTTTGAAATTTTGCTTATATATGTTTTATATACATCTTTGTGTGTATTCTAGTTTGTTTGTTGTCTTTATTTTTACATTAATTTTTCTTTGATATTTTTGGGTTTTTTGTATTTTTACCTCCACAATTTCTGTTTTTTGCTATTTTTAATAGTTTTGTTGGTATTCTCATTTTTCTGATTTTCCATAGTTTGTATTCCTATTCACTCACGGAGTATTATTCAATTTATTTTAAATTTAAAAAATTAATTTGTATATTTTTAGTTTTTAATGGTTGCTTTCTGAAAATTGTATAATTTTTGTGGGGCTGTATTGCCCTAATATTTTTTGTACATTATAATCTTTAATTGAAATTTGTAAATTAAAAACAAGTTGTTTGTCACAATCTTTATAATGTAGCTTTGTCCTGGCATAGTTAGAAACCATTTGTCTCGAGTAGTGATTCTGAGAGTCTTTCAGACATGTTCTTAGGATGTGGCTTGTCTGAAATGTTCTAGCTTTTTTTTTTTTTCAGTTAAAAGAGTTTGTTCGTGTTTCTTCTTGATAGTCAGTAATCACTTGCTACAACTGTTACCTGTCTGTAGTACTGCTGTCTCTTCACTGCTGTAACATTTACCTTTGATCTCAGCAGACTCAAAATGTCATTCCAAAGTATACCACCATTTCTTTCAGCCTTCTATGTCATGGGAGACAGAAACCAATGTCTGCGAAGGCATGTAGAAGCCAGAAATGAAGATGTATATGTTTGTTATTATTTTTCTTTTCTTTAAAAAAGAAAAACTAGGAGTAGGCAATTTACTTCTAAAGGCACTGTGTTATATTGGGGAGCAGAAAGAACTTTGTTGGTAAATAAAACAGACTTGTGTCTTCTCTGTGGCTCTTTGCATTGTGCTCACCTGGGGCACTGCACACCGAACTCATGTATACATTTTCCACAAATGTATTTTGGTCATTATGTTTTTGTTACATTTATGTGTCTATGAAGAAATTAGAGCCTGTGGTATTTTACTATGCAATCTTGCTTATGTAGTTTGTACAATTTTATAGATTAGATTTGTAAAGTATATTTTTCTGAGTCCAGCAAGTAGAGTAATTTCTTATTTTGATTTCTTTCAGTAATGTCTTTTCATTTTGCCCAAGACCTTTGGCCAGAGCAGAACATAAAAGATTCTTTCCAAAAAGTGACACTGAGAAGATATGGAAGATGTGAATATGAGAATTTACAGTTAAGAAAAGGCTATAAACATGTGGATGAGTGTATGGGGCACAAAGGAGGTCATAATACAGTTAAACAATGTTTGACAGCTACCCCAAGCAAAATATTCCAATGTAATAAATATATGAAAGTCTTTGATAAATTTTCAAATTCAAGTAGATATAAGAGAAGACATACAGGAAACAAACACTTCAAATGTAAAGAATGTGGCAAATTATTTTGCATTCTTTCACAACTAACTCAGCATAGAAGAATTCATACTAGAGTGAATTCCTACAAATGTGAAGAATGTGGAAAAGCCTTTAACTGGTTCTCAACTCTTACTAAACATAAGAGAATTCATACTGGAGAAAAACCCTACATATATGAAGAATGTGCCAAAGCCTTTAACCAGTCCTCACAACTTACTAGGCATAAGATAATTCATACTGAAGAGAAACCCAGCAAATATGAAGAATGTGGCAAGGCCTTTAAACAGGCCTCACACCTTACTATACATAAAATAAATAATACTGGAGAAAAAGCTTACAAATGTGAAGAATGTGACAAAGTCTTTAGCCAGTCCTCACACCTTACCACACAAAAGATACTTCACACTGGCGAGAACCTCTATAAATGTGAAGAATGTGGAAAAGCTTTTAACCTATTCTCAAATGTTACTAACCATAAGAGAATTCATGCTGGGGAGAAACCCTTCAAATGTAAAGAATGTGGCAGAGGGTTTAACATATCCTCAAACCTTAATAAACAGGAGAAAATTCATACTGGAGAGAAACCCGACAAATGTGAAGAATGTGGCAACCAGTCCTTAAAACTTACTGCAGATAAGAAAATTCTAATGGAAGGGAAACCCTACAAATGTGAAGAATGTGGGAAAGTCTTTAACCAGTTCTCAACTCTTACTAGACATAAGATAATTCATACTGGAGAGAAACCCTACAAATGTAAAGAATGTGGCAAAGCTTTTAACCAATCTTCAAACCTTACTGAACATAAGAAAATTCATACTGCAGAGAAATCTTATAAATGTGAAGAATGTGGCAAAGCTTTTAACCAACACTCAAACCTAATTAACCATAGGAAAATTTATACTGGAGAGAAACCACACAAATGTGAAGAATGTGGAAAAGCTTTTAATCGATCCTCAACCCTTACTAGACATAAGAAAATTCATACTGGAGAGAAACCCTACAAATGTGAAGAATGTGGCAGAGCTTTTAGCCAGTCTTCAAACCTTACTGAACATAAGAAAATTCATACAGGAGAGAAACCCTACAAATGTGAAGAATGTGGCAAAGCTTTTAACCGATTCTCAACCCTTACTAAACATAAGAGAATTCATACTGGAGAAAAACCCTATAAATGTGAAGAATGTGGAAAAGCCTTTAATCAGTCCTATCAACTTACTAGACATAAGGTAATTCATACTAAAGAGAAACTCAACAAATGTGAAGAATTTGGTAAGCCCTTTAAACAGTCCTCACACCTTACTATCCATAAAATTATTCATACTGGAGAGAAACCCTACAGATGTGAAGAACATGGCAAAGTTTTTAACCAGTCCTCACACCTTACTGCACAAAAGATAATTCATACTGGAGAGAACCTCTACAAATTTGAAGAACATGGAAAAGCTTTTAACCTATTCTCAAACATTACTAACCATAAGATAATTTATACTGGAGAGAAACCCCACAAATGTGAAGAATGTGGAAAAGCTTATAACCGATTCTCAAACCTAACTATACATAAGAGAATTCATACGGGAGAGAAACCTTACCAATGTGCAGAATGTGGCAAAGCCTTTAACTGCTCCTCAACCCTTAATAGACATAAGATAATTCATACTGGAGAGAAACCTTACAAATGTAAAGAATGTGGCAAAGCTTTTAACCTATCCTCAACCCTTACTGCACATAAGAAAATTCATACTGGAGAGAAACCCTATAAATGTGAAGAATGTGGCAAAGCTTTTAACCAATCCTCAAACCTTACTACACATAAGAAAATTCATACTTCAGAGAAACCCTACAAATGTGAAGAATGTGGCAAATCCTTTAACCAGTTCTCATCTCTTAATATACATAAGATAATTCATACTGGAGAGAAACCCTACAAATGTGGAGATTATGGCAAAGCTTTCAACCTATCCTCAAATCTTACTACACATAAGAAAATTCTTACTGGAGAGAAGCCCTACAAATGTGAAGAATGTGGCAAAACTTAATTGATCCTAAAAACTTACTACACACAAGAAAATTCATACTGGAGAAAATCTCCACAAATGTGAAGAATGTATTAAAGCCTTTAACAAGTCTTCAACCTTTTCTACACACAGAAGATATTTTATACTGGTGAGAAATCCTACAAATGTAAAGAATGTGGAAAAGCTTTTAACTAATCTTCAAACCTTACTGAACGTGAGAAAATTCGTACTAGAGAGAATCCTGCAAATGTGTAAAATGTGGCAAAGCCTTTAACTGGTCCTCACTTTTACTAAACATAAGGTAATTCATACTGGAGAGAAGCCATACAAATGAGAAGAATGTGACAATGCCTTTAATCAGTCCTCACACCTTTCTACACTTAAGAAAATTTATACTGGAGAGGCACTCTATAATTGGGAAGAATGTGGCAAAGCTTTTAACCAATCCTCATACCTTACCGTACAGAAATTCATACTGGAGAGAAAGTCTACAATTGTGAAGAATGTTGCAAAGCTTTTAACCTTCCTTAACCCTTACTGCAGATAAGAAAATTCATACTAGGAAGAAACCCTACAAATGTGAAGTCTGTGGCAAAGCTTTTAACTGATTCTCAACTCTTAACTACATGTAAGAGTATTTATACTGGAGAGAAATCCTACAAATGTAAAAAATGTGGCAATGCCTTAACTGGTCCTCACACCTTGCTACACATAAGACAATTTATACTTTGAGAGAAACCCTGCAAATGTGAATAATGTGGCAACACTTTAAACCAATCCTCAAACCTCACTAAACATAATACTGAAAACTTTACAAACCTGAATGATGTGACAATAATTTTGACAACACCTCAAACTTCCTAACATAAATCATACTGGTGAAAAATCCTAGAAATGTGAAAAATGTCACAAAGCCTTTAAATGGTTGTCACACTTGATTGTAGGTAAGATAATCCATAGTGAAGAAAACTCCCAGAAGTGTGAAGAATGTGGTGACACTTTTAATAAATGCTCACCCCTTATTGCACAGGAAATCATTTATGCTTCTGAAAGATTGTACAAATACAAGGAATGTGGAAAAGCCATAATTATCTGCTCACATTTTACTCAACATTAGAGAGTACTTAATAAAAACATTACAAATGCAATTTTTGTCAAGAGATCTTTCAGAAAATATAAGCCTTTAAAGTGAAGAAGAGGAGCCAGGTATGCTGGCTCACATCTGTAATGCCAGCACTTTGGGAGGCCAAGGTGGGTGGATCACGAGGGCAGGAGTTTGAGACCAGCCTGGCCAACATAGCAAAACCCCATCTCCATTAAAAATTTTACAAAAATTAGCTGCATATGGTGGCACGCCCCTGTAATCCCAGCTACTTGGGAGGCTGAAGCAGAATTGCTCAAACCTGGGAGGCAAAGGTTGCAGTGAGCTGAAGTCACACCACTACACTCCAGCCAAGGCAACAAGAGCAAAAACTTCGTCTCAAAAACAAAACAAAAGTATTCATTAGTATTCATTTTGAAGACAAACGTTACAAATACGAGAGGGTTTTAGTACCTTTACTTGTATCACAGATATTGTTGTACCCATTTTGTACTAGAGGAAAACCCTGAAGCAGTTGCTCAAACTTTGTTCACCAGAAAATTTATATTGGAGAAAAACACTGTAAATGTAATGCATTTGGAAAAACGTTTTTAAAAAACTACAGGTTAGAAAATACCAGAGGCCTCATACTAAAATATATTTTTGCAAGTGCAGTAAATATAAAAATAATCCAAAATTAAGTCTATGTAAATATCAGAGAATTCACAGTAGAAATATCTAAGGTAGTGACACTTCAGACATTGCACTAAATCAGAATGCTGAGTATAGAAAATAATTTAAAGCTAAAGTTGGTAAATAATTTGTATATAACTTTAAAAGTAGAATTTTTTTGTAGATGTATTATTACATTCAAATTATATTTTTTCTTGAAAAATTAGTTTTTGAAAAGCAAATGATGTAATTCAACTCTCAAATTACTTCATGCTCTTCATTCCTATTCACACATGAAAGCATGTGATTAATTTTTCATGCATCAAAGATATGAGAAATCATTTCTGTTAGGTGGGTATTATTTACGACACTTTCTATGAAAGAATAAGGACATTAAAATGTAAGATGCGTGATGAAAACCTGAGTGAAGAAGCTTTTTGTGTTTAACTTATAATACTGAGTGATCCATGAAGTAGGTGTTCAGAGCAATATTCTTCTGCATTATGGTAAAACATTTTTAATGTTAAAGTTAATTAGTAGTACATCATTTTACTAACCACTTTTATGTGATAAAATTGTGTGTGAAAAATTTTTGGATTATGCATGAACTTAGTTTTTTAATTAAACTTCTTTTTTTTTTAACATGTTAAAACTATTGTGCATTCAATGAAGTGTTTTCATGCCACTGACTTTACCTGTCCTGCATTACTCAAGGGTTTAGGTAAAAGAGGGTAGCAATATACTACTTGATAACATAATGGGCTAACATCTCTAGTAATTATTTTTGCTAATGGCTTTAAATTACTAATAAAGAATATTGTTCCCATAGTTTATATTTTTATTGTTTTTAAAATTTAAACTTATTTTTTTTGATTTTTGTGGATACATAGTGTATGTATATCTTTATGCCATGTATGGCATATTTTGATACAGGCATATAATTTTATGTATTAATCACTTCAGGGCAAAAGACGATCAACTCCAGCATTTCTCCTTTGTATTACAAACCAATTCTACACTTTCAGATACTTTAGAATGTACAATTGTTACTGACTACAGAGTCATTTTATGGTTGTAATAAAATTACATACAAGTATAAATAAATCATGAGGAAATTCTGAGTTCTGAATAAACATTTAAAAATGTTATATATTTTTCTTTGAACATGTGACCTCTCTGCCTGCAAACATACAGGATTTTAGTTTTGATTTACATACACTTAACTATACACATATATTACTCTAAAACCTTAGGTATAAGAAAATTATGGAGCAAATGAGTATGTTTGTGTATTAGCTTGTACCTATTTTCAGAAGAAAAGAACAATATTGGAACAAAACTAAAATTTTTTTTTTTTTTTTTTTTTGAGCTGGAGTCTTGCTCTGTTGCCCAGGCTGGAGTGTAGTGGCGTGATCTCGGCTCACTGCAAGCTCCGCTTCCCAGGTTCAGGCCATTCTCCTGCCTCAGCCTTCCTAGTAGCTGGGACTACAGGCGCCTGGCACCACGCCCAGCTAATTTTTTTTATTTTTAGTAGAGACGGGGTTTCACCGCATTAGCCAGGATGGTCTCAATCTCCTGGTCTCATGATCCGCATGCCTCGGCCACCCAAAGTGCTGGGATTACAGGCCAAAACTAGTAATTTTTAAAAGATGACTAATTTACTAGACAACTGAAAACCTCAAAAATACTGGAAGCAAATCTGTATCCTCTGCTTTGCATTGAATTCATTTCTGTAAAATCTGGCTTATGATTTAGAATCTCCCCATGCAAAGTTTTTGTTTATACTTGCCTGATACTCATGCTACACCTATAATTTTCTTGTTACTTATGCTTTTGTCTTTTATAATTTATGAGATATTCATCATATGAGCTGGTCTTGGATTATAAGAATGATTTTTTATAGTTTAGCAGTGTACACAAAATAACTTCTAGATGTGTTTCCAAAATTTGTGTATTACATTTTATTTAGTTAGAACATTCTATTTCTTCTTTCCACTGGAGAATCCTATGTAAGCCTACTTTAGTTAGTGTTCTTTTGTCTTATTATAATTGACATAAGTAAATTTATTTATTGAGCCAGTTTGTTCAGGTAAGAACTTGAAAGACTTCATAAGTCATGAAAGTGCTTTTATATATGAATGCAGCAAACAAACATGACATTGCTTATTGTGTAACAGGTGCTCCATAATGAGCCATATGTATTTCTACTGGTGTTAGTTTGTAACTACAAGTCAGAGATGGAAAATATTAATAGTGAAGAAATAACATTGATTTTTTCATGTGGAGAGAACTTTTTTTTTCAGGCTGCAAAGCTGAATCTTGCTGAATTTAATGAGAAATTCTGTTTTTGTTTTTTTTTTTTAATTTCCTAATTATCTTCAGTTTTGTTTATCTTATTATGTGTCTTCCATGTATTCAACACAGTCCTCCTTTTTCTGTGTTACTGCCACAGTTTTCTCACTGTTGTCTTCATGCCATGTCAATTCACATGGTACTTTGTAGGTTTTGATGAGAAAATTGGTATTTTTTAATGCACTGAAAAATTGGTTATAACTAGAGAGTTTGCTTATCAATATAACTTTCAGATTAGTTAAGATAAAAGGCATACCCTGTCCACAGGTGAGAGGATTAAATCAGCGTTGTTTTTCTCTGTTTTTAAAAGGAAAATCTTATTAAATTCTTACATAAAGTGTGGCACATATTGTTTGCTAGAAAATATATCTTAGAAATTAAATTTTTGAGAGAGCTAATGGTAAGTGAAGAATTTTAAATTTAATTTTCTATGATACAGCACAGCATTTTTTTTTTTTTTTTTTTTTTTTTGCAGAATCTTATGTTTTGAAGTGTGAATATTCAAGGTTGCAAAATAACGACCTTTGTTGATTCAATATTTGGAATACTACGTCTTTTCTATATTGATAGTACAATTCAGAAAAATTTCTCTTATTTTATATAATTATTTTAATGAGTGAAGTTTAGTCTACAGTTTTTATTGTTAGTCACCTAACTAGCCAACTTCTTTCTCTTTTCTACTTTCCATTTTCTATTGGAAAACTTTTGGAGATCATGGCAGCTTTTGGATTAAAACGTTTTCTGTTATTTTGCATGCAAGCTTGTTTACTGTGTTAACATAGTAGTTAGTCATGAGACCTATAAGAAACACTCTCAGTGTCTTTCATGCCATTACTGTCTGCAATAAATACATGTGTATTTGTTCTGTAAAACATTATGTTTGGAAGTATATATACATTGTCAAATGCCTAATTTTAGGTCATTAAAGCTTTACCTCACAGAGTTAACATTTTTGTGGTGAGAGCACATGACATTGCCAGCATTTTCCAAAAATACTAATATATTATTATAATCTATAGTCACCATGCTGTAAAAAAAACCTCCTGAACTTCTTTCTATCCAACTATAGTTACGTATTCTTTGACATCTTTCCACCCCCCCCCCGCCCCTTTTTTCTAAATACCTTGGCCTCTGGTGGTCACCATTTTACTCTCTACTTCAATGAGATTACATTTTGTTTATGTATTTATGAGACAGAGTCTCACTCTGTCACCCAGGCTAGAGTGCAGTGATGCGATCTCGGGTCACTGCAACCTCCGCCTCCCAGGTTCAAGTGATTCTCCTGCCTCAGCCTCCTGAGTAGTTGAGATTACAGGTGTTCACGACCACCCCTGGCTAATTTTTTGTATTCTTAGTAGAGACAGGGATTTGCCACGTTGCCCAGACTGGTCTTGAACTCCTGAGCTTAGGCGATCCAACCCCTTGGCTTCGCAAAGTGCTAGGATTACAGGCATGAGCCACCGCACTCGGCCGAGATTACATTTTTTAGAATCCATGTCTAAGTGAAATCATGAAATGATAATCTTTCTGTACTTGGCTCATTTCAACAAATATTATGTCCTCCAGTTTATGTGATTGAAAACAATAGAGTTTTCTTTTTTGAAGATGAATAGGATTTATTCTATAGTATGTACTACATTGTCTTTACTCGTTAAATGTTGAACTGTTGATTCCATATTTTGGAAATTGTGAAGAGTGTTGCAAGCCGTATAGAAGTGCAATTATTTCTTCATTCTGATTTCATTTGTTTTGGATATATAAACAATAGTGAAATTGGTGTTTGTTTTGTTTTGTTTTGTTTTTTTTTTAAAAGAGTCTAGGTCTGTTGCCAGGCTGGAGTGCAGTGGCGCGATCTTGGCTCATTGCAACCTCCACTTCCTGGGTTCAAGTGATTCTCCTGCCTCAGCCTCCCGAGTAGCTGGGATTGCAGGCGTGCACCACCATGCCCAACTAATTTTTGTATTTTTAGTAGACAGGGTTTCACCATGATGGCCAAGATGGTCTCGATCTCCTGACCTCGTGATCCACCCCCCTCGGTCTCCCAAAGTACTAGGATTACAGGCATGAGCCACTGTGCCTGACTGAAATTGCTGTATTATATGGTAGTTTAATTTTAAATTTTTTGAGAAATCTTATTTAGTTTTTTATAATGACTGTCCTCATTCACATTCAAACCAGTGTGCAAGCATATTCCGTTTTCTTCACAACCTATTATCTTTGTAATAAAGTAATTCTCACAGGACTGACTTGATATCTCATAGGGTTTTGGTTTCTTTTCTCTGATAATTGATACTGAGCATTTTTTATATGTCTCTTGGCCATATGTCTGTCTTTTCTTGAACAATATTTAAGCCTTTTGCTCATTTTTAATGGTTATTTGTCTTTTATTGTATAGTCATTTGAGCTTTTAATTTTTTTATATTAACCCCTTGTCACATGTGATTTGCAAGCATTTTCTCCTCTTTTTTAGTTGTCTTATCCTGTTGGTCATATCAGATTCTGTGCAGCAGCTTTTTAATTTGAAGTGGTCCAACTCGTCTATTTTTTCTTTGATTCCCTGAGATTTTGAGGTTAAGCTAAAGTCACTGCCTAGACCAATGTTATAGGGATTCACTCTATACTTCTCATAGTAGTTTTAGAGTTTCAAGCCTTATGTTTAAGTATCTAATTTATTTTGAGTTGATTTTTATATATGGTGTAATATGGTATCATTTTATTTCTCTGCATGTGGATGTAAAGTTTTCTTGACACCATTTGTTGAAGATACTATTTTTTCCCTAGGAAATGTTCACCTACATCTATAATTAGTTATCTGTAAATACATGAATATACTTCTGGTCTCACTTTTCTGCTCCATTGGCGTATGTGTCAATACACACAACTACCCATGATTGGATCTGGAAAAAAGAGAAGTCTTGAACAAAGCAAAAATGTATTAAATGTATAATAAAATTGAATTTGTAATAAAAAACCTACAAAATATAACAAACCCTGGATCAGATGAATTTGCAGCCTAATTTTACCACAAATACAAATATTATCTGGTACTAGTTCTACTGAATGTATTCCAAAAATGAAAATGGGTTTCCTTCCTAACTTGTTATATGAAATCAGTATCATCTTGATACGAAAGTCTAAGACACAACAAAAAAATCTACAGTCCAATATTCCTGGTGAACATTGAAACAAAAATCCTTCCTGAAATATTAGCAAGCTGAGTTCATAAGCAAATCAAAAAGTTATTTTTCCACAATCATGTGAGTATTATTTTATGACTGCGAAGATGTTTCATCATATTCAAGTCAATAAGTGTGATTCACCATGTAAAGATAATTAAACTCATAAGATCAGATCATTATAACAATAGATGCAGAAAAAGCACTCAAGAAAATCCAATATTTGTTAAAAAAAAAAAAAAATCCTCAGCAAACTAGGCATTGAAGAAACATATCTCACAATAATAAGAGCCATCTATGACAAATTCTCGGCCAACATCATACTGAAGAGGTGAAAGCTGTATACATTCTTCATAAGAATAAAAATGAGAATATCCACTCTAAACACTCCTATTCAACATAGTTTTGGAAGTCCTAGCCAGAGCAATTCAACAAGATAAAGAGATAAAAGTCCAACATACCAGAATCTCTGGGACACATTTAAAGCAGTGTGTAGAGGGAAATTTATAGCACTAAATGCCCACAAGAGAAAGCAGGAAAGATCTAAAATTGACACCCTAACATCACAATTAAAAGAACTAGAGAAGCAAGAGCAAACACATTCAAAAGCTAGCAGAAGG